CTTACAGAAACTGCCTCTCTAATTAACCCTTGTTACCATTGTAACAACTAAGGCGAAGTGCCCATCAACCTGAGTGACATTGACTTGGTCACGCCCACATGATCACATGACCACCGAGCCCCGCCTGCCCAGCTGGTCATTAGGGCAAAGAACTGGTTGGTAAATTATTTGAATCCCACCACTGAATCACATGGTGAGCTATATTCGTATGCCACTACATGATGCTCAAAAACCAAAATTTTAGCCATTGGGGAAAAGAGACAAGAAATTAAAGTAGAGAAGTGTCAGTGGTCAGTGTCTCTTCGCACTTCTACCATTGGGCAGAAGACATTGATGCATAGCCAGCCAAACAGATAGGTTTAAAAATAGTTTCTATCCTTGGGCTGTCAGACTCTTAAACACAACCACTCCAAGTACATGTGGAAACCTATGATTAGTCTCTTTTCTTTTTTCTTTTTTCCTAATTACATGCATCGGGATTATTCTTTTTGCTATTTATATTGTTTATATATTGTCATGGATTGCACCAGTGAGGCTAAAACCAATTGCATTGTAAACATGATGTACAATGACAATAAAGGCTATACTATACTAGAGAAGAAAGAGGAAAGTAAGAAAAAGAAAATTATCACTTACCCTCAGTTTTATTTTTGACCCACAGGTTTATAGTGTCAGAAGCAGCATTTGGATCCTTGAAATTTATATTTTTAACAGGGCACTGAAACACCTCACTGTTTCTAGAAACAAAAGGTGTTTCCATTTTCAGCCCGCTGTTTGCAAAAACTATATTTGCAATTTTAACAATATCTTTATTCCTCCTTGACACGATAGCTTTGTTTATCTTCTTCAATACTTTACCAACTCCTAATTGAAAGACAAATGAAGAGTATGTAGACACATATATACACAGACACTTTAAACAATTGAAAGCATTCAGTGGCTAAAAGGCCTTCTCATTTATAAATCGTTTGCTCAGCCTTGTTAGAAGATTATGTGGTACAGTGATATCACTTAAGTTTTCACTTCTCTTTATGTGAGATTTCGCTCCTGATCTGTTTTGTTGTACTGATAGTTTTGGTTTTATTTTAACTTCATAAATGAACTAGTTATTAATAAGTGAGATATATAAAACCAATAATTTGGGGGGATTAGAGAAGTCAATTAAGAGAAAGGTAAGCACACTTGGTTTTCAGAATCTAGCTTATCCCACCTTTATTACTTTATAAATAACTCAAGGCAGTGAACATACATAATCATCTTTTTTTCCTTCTATTTTCCCCACAACAATGACCCTGTGAGGTGGGTTGAGCTGAAAAAAGGTGATTGGACCAAAGTCATCCAGCAGGCTTTAATGCCTAAGGTGAAACTAGAACTCTAGAATTCTCCAATAGTGGATCAGAAGGGGATCAGCAATGAAGGAACATCTAAGCAAATGTTCAAACATTAAATTTTATTAGTAAATAAAATCATAATTTTATTTGATATTATTTATTTATTTCATTTTTGTGCTGTCCATCTTCCCCTATAAGTTGACCATTATAAACCTGATAATGGTGGCTTTCTTCCCAATTAAGAATCTATGGAAGAACTTTCTGAGTTTTGACAATGCTTAAAAACAAATCTAGGAAGCAGGAATTCTTCGTGATCTATTATAGCTCATCATCCATCAGTAGATGCCAATTTGCTGCTGTTCACTCATGATTTTCTAGACTCAAACAGGTCAGTTGAAACAAAAACAAAGGTTTTTGTTCCATACTACAGGCTTATTTATTATGACTAGCACTCTCTTCAGGGGAAAGCCTTAAATCACAAACAAAAGCAACTCTAATTGTTTCCATGGGCTCTATCTAAAAAAAATGTTTTTAAAAGTCTTATCCAACTTATGCCTTAGTATGTTGCATACTATACAATCTAGAATTCTTGGGGCCAATGGCTATGCTGGAAATAGAAATACTAGAAGTGGTCATCCTAAAACATCTGAAGATTTATTGCTTCAGGAAGACTGATTTAGGAAATTTCAAGGCTAACTGAGGATTATACATCCTAGAACATACCTAGGAAAAATCTAATGCAAATGTGATAATCAAAGCTTTGTCAAGCCTACATATATTGACTACTTAAACCATGGTTCTATTTCCCTGCTCACATATTTCATAGGTAATAAAGTCCTCAAGTTTGAAAAGGGCATTCCATAGTAAACAAAAAGACTAGTTCAACTAGTCATTGAAGCAATCTCTGACATGCTGGTGATTTTTTTGGTAAGCTGCAATGCAATTAAAGGCAAAGTTTCTGGATGGGAAAAACAACAAGAAAGTGGGCTGAAAAAAGCACTCAGCTGATTAGAAAAGTAAAACTCCATAAAGTTTGATATGGCAAGAACAAATGATATAGCAACTGCTCTCCTCCTCTCCCCAACAGGCAGATTATACCATTAAATTACCAGGAAGCACAATAATATTTTATAAATATCATGTAAATGCTCACACGGATATGTATGCATCCTGTATCAGGAGCAAGAGGCAGGTGGTATTTTGTGCTTTCGGCACATTTTTGGCAATGAAATTCAATCCTGCTTACTCTGGAACCAAGAAATCAGTTCTTGTTATATTTACTGTGCTTAGCATTCGTGCCAAACACCGGAGCCAAGAATGCCTTCTGGTATGACAGATAATGCTTCACTGTCATCTACTTAGTATGCATTAGGACATGATAACTGCTTAATGTACTGAGCAACAGTAACCACTGTTTTCCTACAGATTTCTTTGTGTGTTTATGGAAGAATTAGGGCACAGATGAATTTATTTCAGAAATCAATACAAAAAGCTTGGATGAATCTTGAAATCATAGATCCAAATCACTGACCATTTACACTGTATCTCATCACTGTAGTCAGCTCCTTCTTTGTCTTGCCGTCGGCTCCTAGCTGAAGCATCCCAAGCACCGATGCAATTCCATGTGGAGAAACCACAACATTATCACCAGCTCTGGTTTTGACCAGCTGATTGAAAACTTGGATTCCAATGTCCGATCCCAATTCCTCCAATGACAAATGGTTTTGAGGAAAGCATACATAGGTGGACGTCAAGGCAGCAAAGAGGAGAGGGAAATGCCAGTACATGGTTCCAATCTAGAATAACCTGAAAGAGAACAAAGAATGTATATGACATGAAATGACCCGAAGCATGTGAGTGTGGTGTGCAGATACCTCTTCTAAAACTCCTAACTACTAGGGCTCATAGCACTTTACCCAGCTTCATGGATTCAAATTTTAAATCAGTACCCCTCACTCATATAAACTACACTATCAGAAGAGGAGAAGCTTCCAGTTATTTGCAGATAATTGTTAATGGAAGTAAAATAAATCCAGATTCAGTGCATGATTATTTATGCTATTGTGTCACTATCTCCATGATCCCATGCTGAGCAATGCAGCAGCTTTAATGACAATATATTTTAAAGTTTGCTAACTTTTTATACTTGCTTCCAAGAATAGCCTTTTACAGGAAAAGCATTTTTATAGTTCTGAAGCCATAATTTGCCTATTAATTTAATTGCATCTTAATTCTACTCATTTTTTGTTCCCTAGAATAAAATCTGAGAAAATCTTATTTTACTTCTGAACTTCAAGTCGATACAGAATAAATCAAATGTTGAAGCACTTTCACCCCTTTAGCTTAAATGCACTGGAAACACTGTGGGTTATCTTTGGGGATGCTGGTTACACAAACATTGTGCATTCTTTAATCATCTTCTCTTGCTTTTCTGGGCATTGTTCAAAGGATAAAATTTTATTTTTCAGTCAATAAGCAACACTGATCAAGGACAGGCATCAATTTGTGTATGTTCTCAGAACAGAAGACAGTAAGAAATTGAAACAAAATGAATAATTTAGAGCAGGAATAAAACTTAAGATCTTTTGTTTAAAGACTTATTCATTCACATCATGCTTTAGTAGGCATAAAAATTGCTATAAGTATCCTAACAGAAATAACACCTTGAGTATTCTAATAGGATAAGCGAATAATCTAACTGCTGTGCAAACACAGCTCCTCTGTCTGAAATGTTAAGGCAAACACCACATTTTCAAAGCTGCTCTGAAATGTAACATATTTTTCAGAGTATAAGACACAACTTTTTCCTTCAAAATGAGGGTGAAAATCTGGACACATCTTATACACTGAACACAGCATTTTTGGCCTCCCGAAACCGCACCCCTTTCACCAAAATGGCCGTGCATAGCCTTAGGAGATTCTAGGGTGCTGCTGAGGGATGGGAAGGGCAGAAATGAGTGAAAAATGGGCCATTTTTGCTCAGTTTTGCCTCCCCCAGTCCCCAGGAGCACTCTATACTCCTCCTAATGGCTATGCATGCCCTTTTTTTGGACAAAAAAGGGACCGTTTTTGCAGAGGTCTGCAGAGTGCAAAAACTTTTTTAAAAATTTGCCTCTTCAAAATCTTGACACATCTTATACTCCAGTGCGTCTTATACTGCAAAAAATATGGTCATTCCCCACAGCAATTTCTTTCACTGGCAGTCAGTCTACAATAGTATTTTCTCAATCTCAGCAACTTTAAGATATGTAGACTTCAACTCCCTGAATTCTCCAGAGGCATGTTGGGGGGGAAAGTTTTTGAGGTTGAGAAAACACTGCTGTACAATATCATCCCAATAGTTACAAACTTCCAGAAAGTGAGTATGGAGGGCACTGTTTGAATCTCTATGGTAAGCTTGTTCAATAGTATAGAGGCTACCATGGACAAGGCCAACTAGTTTTGACTAACTCCCATTAATTACAGAAGGAAGGTTTCTAAGCAGGAACTCTCAGGATAATTGAATCAAATATATGGAGTGATTTTTTAATGGGAAAATTCCTGATGTAAGTGCTGTACTGGATTTAAAGGACTAGGACTTTGAATAGGACCTGGAAGTCGATGAAAAATCAGAATAAAGGTAGAGATAGTTTTTAACATAGTGCACAAGTCTCACAAGGAACATGTCTTAATACTTCAAAAAGAAACGTTTTCTTGCTACTAACATGTCCCAAAAAGCACCTCCTTTAGCTATAATATGTACTTTTTCATCCTTATATTTTAATTTTATAAGAATAAAGCAACCTAGAAATTAGAAAGCCACCAATGCATTTGATCAGAAGGGGCTCAGCATAGCTCAAAAAGTACTCTTTTTTCAGTAAATACAGGTTTTTAATTCATCTAGAATAGTGGTTCTCACAATATATAATTACATATTCTTTTTGAGATTAATCTCTATGATTTAATTATGTTAAATTTGTAATAATGAAAATACATCCTGCATATCATATATTTACATTACGATTCATAACAGTAGCAAAATTACAGTTTTGAAGTAGCAACAAAAATAAATTTATGGTTGGGGGTCACCACAACATGAGGAACTGTATTAAAGGGTCACAGCATTGGGAAGGTTGAGAACCACTGATCTAGAAAAAAATCACAGCTTTTTAATAAGCTGGAACAATTATTCAATTAACTAGTTCACAATACTTTTAGCAGAATAGGAAGAACTGTGCCAACTTCACAGTTTAGCTCTTGCTTTCCTGCTTTTTCATTTGCATTTCAGTGAACAATGCTTGATAATTTTACAAATGCAATTCAAATATAATTATGTATTTAGAATATTAATTTAACTAAGCTTATGCCCATTAATACAATGAAATACTATACTATTGAAATACTGCTCAGATTTTATTTACTTTTCACATTTTTGAATTACCCATCTCCTGTGGAGAGCGACATTTGTCTAAAGCAAGCTCATGCTATGCAAAACAATAACGCTTTATCTCTTTTTCAGTGCATATGCTAATATTTTGTTAAAAGATGGCAGATGGGTATTTCTAAAGCAATATCCAGTTCCCCAAAGTTAAAAAAAAGAAAACTCAAGTATGCAGAACATGGCATCTAGAACTGTTTCCAACCTTATCATCAGTTATGCCCAATCAATCGGAAGGCATCTATCAGTTCAATCATTAGAAGTAAATGTTTTCATTCAAAATAATAGAGTTAACAGAAAAGTTTGAGCATGCAATTTTATCTCAGGAAACTAATCATGATGTACATATATGTTGTAATTGCCTGCTTATTTGTACGTGAAGGTGGTATATGTATGCTACTGTGTATATGCATATGTTCCTTCTCTGCCTTCCCGTTGCATCTATGTGTGTTTGTACAAGTGTACCTTGGGAATCATGGAGAGGGAAGTTGTTTAGTTCTTTCTGAGTCATATGATTAAAAAGGGGAGTTTACAGTGGAGATAATGGCAGGATATTATCTCCACTGATAATATACCACATATTAAGTAGTTTAGGGTTTAGGGTTTCCTGCCTAGGTTTAGGGGGTTGGACTAGAAGTCCTTTCCAACTCTGTTGTTCTATTCTATTCTGTTCTATTCTATTCTATTCTACATATAGGCAGTTAGACAGCATTCTAATGCTTTTTGGGTAATTTCTTCCCAGAATTCAGTTGGTTGGAAAAGATAAATAAAGTAGGGTAAGCACACTGTGCATATCTTCTAGAACATTTTTCAATCCCTCTATCTGCAATGGCCACAAAAGTATCTGCTCTTTCTTCTGTATGAGGGGAAAATGTGTTGCACCTGTGGTAGTGTTTCTTCTTTTCCTTTGTGTTGTTTCTCTGTGCATTTACATAATAGTGTGCACTGGGAAGCAGAGGGCAGACTGCATATGGTCTTCTCTGAGTCACATGTCTTCCAGGTGGGAGGGCTTAGAAAGGAGCAGCTGCAAACATTTTAAGCAGCTGCCCAAACGCCTCTCATATAAGCATGGGGGAAGCAGTGTTTTTCTCTACAGCCTCCACATTGATCTGGTCCATTTTCAAACTCTTTCTCCTGCCTTATCAAATTTGTCCCATTATGTTCTTTCATAGAGCTAACCTACTGGGAGATAAAACTATGAAGTTTTAACAAAATTTCAGTAGTCCACATTCTGGAAAAAATAAAATTGGTCCATAGCTTACTGAGAAAAGATTTCAACATTTAAGCTTTCGTAAAAGTCCCTGGATCAGCTTTTCTTTTTAAAAAGGCAGCAATGTCTAAATGCCTTTCACAAACAATTATGTAACAGCCATAAAAATATTCTTGGAATTGTTTTTCTTATCCTAAAAATTTTAAATTCCTAATTACTTTTAGTTTTAAAATAAAATAGACACAAAATAATAAAACAATTCAAATGTACAATGAAACACCTTCACTCAGCCTGGAATGATGGGAAATGTAATCCAACACTGAAGCAGCAGGCTGAAGAAGGTTCTAGAACAGGCTGCCTTTTGGGACTATAAATGGATAGCTGCTTTCCAGGACTATGGCAATGCAACAATTTGTTTCACATAAGCACCTAACAGGACAGAGTCAAGAATATTTATTCTTAAAAATGTATCTTTTAGAAAACTTTCCTACATCTTATAATAAAACATGGCTTTCATTAAAATTCTATCTATTTCTTCCTCAGCGTCAATTAATAGGCAGAGCTAAATAGTACTTATGCATGGCTGTTAATGATCCTACATCAAGGAGAAGTAAATTTGTGAAACATTGTATAATATTTTAAAGTAATACAGACCTGTACAAAAGTATGAATTCTACTTGAACCAGAATGTAGCAATAGCAATAGCACTTAGACTTATATAATGCTTCATAGTGCTTTACAGCCCTCCCTAAGCAGTTTATAGAGTCAGCATATTGCCCCCAATATGCTGGGCCCTCATTTTACCTACTTCAGAAGGATGGAAGGCGGAGTCAACCTTGAGCCTGGTGAGATTCGATCTGCCAAACTGCTGGCAGCCAGTGATCAGCAGAAGTAGCAGTACTGCTCTTTAACCACTGCGCCACTGCAGCTCAGTAATGTTATATAATCTATTAGCAATTAACAACAAAATGGCAGAGCAGTTTTCAAATTAATCCTGGTCCAACAAATCTCATCCCCAGAAGATACAACCAATTCTAATTGTTAAAATAACAATAATGTACATCTAGATGTACAAAAAACAAGAAAGAAGGCCCAATCATGTATGTAAAGTGAAAGGACTACCAGGGAGAGCAATGGCGAACTGAACACAGCTCTGCTTTTTACAGAGCCAACAACTGG